GCACGCCATCCCGGCAGGTTTCGTGGTGTTCTTTGCGCGGGAAGTCTTGGACGGTCTCTCCAGATTTATCCAGGCGGCATGGGCAGCCTGTTGCTGCATGAGGTCGGCTGCTTCCACTCAAGTCCTTCTCTTCTAATTCCTTGCATGTACAGACGGTTAGAGTTGGGAGCCTTTCAGAATCATCGAGCGTCTAGACTCTAGACTATTCTAGCCCAATACCCTTCCTCCTCTTTTTTGATAGTGAAGGAAAGAGGTCCAGAAGGGGGACCAGTGACAGACAGCAAGCACCAGAACCGAAACTGGAATGTAGGACTTCTCCCTCCCTTCCCCCAACTCTCCCCCTCCGTCTGGGAACCAGAGCTAGAAGGAGGTACGTTAATGAGTGGTTCTGTCCCTCCGGGCCGGGCTGAAGAGAGTCCTGGGCCCCCCTCACCTGTAAAATGAGCGATTCAGACTAGATAAGCTCGAAATCTGTGACTTTGGTTCCTTCATTTCGAGAGGAGAAAAATGAATGAAGTCCAGAGAGGTTTCACAGATTGACAGTAAAACAGAGATTCCCCGACTGCCCCCTATCTGCAGGGCGTCTGCCCCTTCGGGTAGTCGGGTTTTCTGCACTTCGAGGGAAAGGTGAGAGGCTGCTTTTTAGCCGCTTTTCTGCCCACTTGAGCCGCGTGACTCTTGGAGTGATCACTCTAGGGGGCGGGGTTTCTTGGGCTTTAGGTGCAAACCCAGTCTTGGGTCGGGAGAGGCTTCGAAGGTCCCCTTTACCCCACTTCCGCTCCCGGCTCCTCTCCAGCCCTTCGCCTCTGGGCATCTATGAGACAGCGTTGGGGTTGGGGAGTTCGGATTCAATACAGACAAGCTCTCGCAGGGTGGCCGGAGCTGGTTTCTGAATGGGTCAGTGGGCTCCTCCTGCCCCCTCTCCTCGCCTCTTCCCGGGTCTCACACATGGGCTCTTAGAATTTGGAGAGACCTAAGGGATCGCCCAGTCCTGCCTCTTTATTTGGCATTGGAGAAAACTGAGGCCCAGAGAGGGGACGAGATTGTTATAATTCACACAGGCAGCAGAACAGGGATTGGAATCTGGGTCCTTCTCTTCCTTTCCCAGGGCTGAGGCCCCGGTGTGTCTATCAGGAGGGCGGTCTGGGAGTGATTATCAGGACTCTGGAGTTTTTGCTGTTGTTGTTTGCCCTGTCTTCTCGAAGAGGACCATGACATCAGGGAGGTGATGCCATGACGAGCAAGTGAATTGGATTTAAGTGAGGGAGGGCTGTGCAAGGTCACCAGCCTCACTGTCTTCTCCGGAGCCTATTCTGGAGAGAGTCTCATGAGGGCGCTGTGTTCCAGCAGTTCTTTTGTAAGGTTGCCCCTTCTCACCCCCCAGTCCTCTCTCCGCGCTCCACGCCCACAACCTCCTCTTTTTGCTGTGGTTTCTGCTACAGCCCCGACTAACAAGACTGCAATGCTGGGAAGGCTTCATTTATTTATTTGATTCTGAGAGACATTTCTCCCCTGAATATTCACACATTAACAGGCATAGAAATCTTCCCATTTCCTTCTTATCTCAATGACATCCAAACCCTCAAAATTTTCTTTCCGTAGTCAGAATGGAGCATTTCACTTGCCTCCACTACTTTCTCAGTGGGAAGGCTTTAAAGGCTGTGTAATACATCATAATAGAAGTACTGAATTAGGGATCAGAGGAGGGAGCCCGAAAATCCCAAGATCAGCTATTTGAGAGCCATGTGACCCCTGGTCAAGGTGTTCATCCTCCCAGAGACATATCTGAAAAATCAGGAGGTCAGATTAGATGAACGCTAAAGCTCTTTCCAGCTCTCAATGGATGATCTGATGCTTCCTCATTCTCCTCCCCTCTCCTCAGTGGCTTCTTTTTGCACCCCAATCCTGACCTCTCTCTTGTCTTAGCAGATGTTCTTGCATTTTATTTTCCTTTAAAAACAAGGGCCAAAAGCTGAGAAGTTCCTCTCATCCCCAGTTCTCTGCCTGAAGAACTCTATACATTTTTACCCATTCTTTGCTCCTTTATTTTTATTTTTTGGTAGCTAGGTGATGCAGTTAATAGTGCACTGGGCTAGGAATCAAAACTATCTAAGTTCAAATCTGGCCTGAGACACTAGATTTGTGACACTGGACAAGTCACTTCAGCTTTGTCTGCCTCAGTTTCCTCAAGTCTAAAATTGGGATAACAATAGCACCTACCTCCCAGGATTGGGATCATTATCAAATGAGATCATATATGTCAAAGCACTTAGCAGAATGGCTGGCACATAATAGGTACTTAATAAAATGCTTATTCTCTTCCCTTCTCTCATTTCCCTTTCCTCCTCCTTGCAAAGGCCAAACCCTCTCTATGTGTCCCCCATCCCACTGTCTCTCATCTTCAGGAGCTTGTTTAGGTTTAAGAAAGGCTTTGCATGGGAAGTGACTGGAGCTGAGTTTTGAAGGAAGCTAGGGATTCTACTAGGCAGAGGTGAGAAGGGAGTATGTCCCAAGTATGAGGGTAGCCTGTCTGAAGGCATGGAAACCAGAGATAGACTAGCCCTCTTTCTCACCTCCATGTCCAATCAGTTGCCTTGAGTTCAAATCCCACCTGATATACTTAATAGCTGTGTGAACCTAGGCAAGTCATTTAACTTCTGATTCCCTTAGTTTCCTCATCTGTAAAGTGGGGATGATATTAGTACCTACCTCCCAGCATTATTATGAAGATTGAGTGAAATAATATCTATAAAGCACTTTGCAAACCTTAAAGTGGTATTTCAACGAGATAGCTATCCTGTTATAGCATCTCCTGCATCCAGATACTTCTCTACATTCACACAGCCCTTACCCTGATTCAGGGACTCTTCACTTTTTACCTGGGCTACTGTAAAAGCCTCCCAGTCAGTTGTCTGCTCATGTTCTCTCTCCTCTCTAGCCCATCTGCTACACAGTTGCCAAAGGTTCTGGTCTGTCACTTCCTTGATCAAAAATGTCAGTAGCTCACTATTGCCTATAGGGTAAAATATAGTGTCTTTAATCTGGCATTTGGAGTTCTCCACAATTTTCTTCTTTCTAGCCCTGTTTCCCACTGTTCTCCTGCATGGACTCTTATGTTCTAACCAAACCAACAAATGGTTCTTCTCTAAACTCAGTATTCCATTTCCCATCTCAAAGCATCTGCACAAATCATTCCGCAGGCCTGGAATCTTCTCCCTCCTGTCCCTCTCCTCTGCCTCAGACTCTGTCTTCCTTCAAGGCTCATTTCAGGTGCCACTTTCTCCCTGAAGCCTTTGCTGATCCTCCCAATTCTCAAGAATTCCTTTCTGCCTTCATTTTCCTTGCATGTTCTGATAGAACACCCAGGTAGAATATAGTGTAAGCTAGTAGAAGGCTAGGGACATATACTGTATTCTGTTAGAAACTATATATATATAGAAACTATATGTTTTTCATTTCCAGTATGTAGCCCAATGCCTTGCACCTAACAGATGCTTAATAAATGCTTTCTGGGTTAAACCTGCCCCATCCTGTGACTCCACTGTCTAGCTCTTTCTGTGCCATGTTGGGGGGTGATGAATTGGATGTCAGCTCACAGCCTGTCCACCCTCATTCTTGTAGGTACTCTGGAAATGGAGATGAATGGGAAGGCTCAGATGGCATCCCTCAACACAAATGTCACCATCCCCTGTATCTTGTATGAAAGTGGTTCTGTAACCCTGAACATCAGTCTCATTGGAGTCAGGTGGTTCCTGAGAAGGGCAGACTCTGACAAGGAAGACAAAGTCTTTGAATACAATGGAGGAAAACAGACTCAGTTCAGACCAGGAGCCAGCATCTCACTGTCAAGGCTGAAGAAGGGAAATGCCTCTCTCTTCCTGCCTTTTATCCAGCTTCAGGAAGGAGGAGAGTACAGATGTGAAATAATCATCCCTCCTACCAAAGAGGAGAGAACATCCAGAGTGGACGTGGTTGGTGAGTGAGAAGGGACCTGGTCTCTAGTGTTCCATGTGTATTGGATGGCTCACAGTTGGAAATGTCTGTCTGGGCAGAGGGTGGGATGAGAGGGTGGACTGTATGTTAATTGATCAGTCAAACAGTAATGATAACTTCCATTTCTAAAGCCTTTTGAGATTTTCAAAGCATTTTCCTCCTGACAAACCTATGAGGCAAAGATTACTATTCCCATTTTATTGAGGAGGAAACTGAGGATCAGAAAAGTAATTTGCCCACATTTATACAAAAAGTTATTCAAGCTGGAACTTAAACCTAAAGCTTCTAGCCTCCAAAGTCCATTGAATTTTACTCTGTGCCTCAACCCAGAGTATTTATTGAGTCCCCACTGAGTAAGACTCATGACACTGTCTAGCAAGGTTGGCTGCACCTTGTAGTACTTGCAGTCTTCCTGAGTGGAGCAAGTACCTACATGTAGGAAATTATGAATGTATGGTACATTGAAATATAAACTAGGGAGAGAGGTTCCCAGGGACCCTTTATGACTTTTAGTCTCCGTGACTCTGGGAAAGAAATTTCTACTCCGTGTACCCCTATTTCTTCATCTGTAAAATAATCCAGAAGAATAATTTTTTCTTGTCTGATATTGATTCAGTCTAGACGAATACTATCTCTGTATATGTGTGTATTTGTGTGTTTTGAGTGTGGGGGTGGGTATCCTTTAATGCATGAGGGGATGGTGAGAAGTGAATCTTCTGGAACAGTGCTTAGCACAGTGCCTTACACATAGTAGGTGTTTAATATTTATTGATTGACTGACTGACTGGCTTCCAGTGTGCCCTTAGCATGGCCCAACAATGAGTCTTATCTCTTTACAGCTCAGCCTCAAATCGCCAACAAGAAAGTGATTTCAAGCACTCAGTCTCCGGATGTGGAGAATACTGAGAATACTGAGGAAACCTCCAAGATTCCCTCTAGGAGCAATGATGGTACGTTCAGTGCCACAGACAGTAGAACCAGCTCCCAGTCTACGGTTACCCCAAAAACACAATCGATCTCATTGCAGAGTGGTACTCTCCCAATTGTAACAGGTATCTGTCTTCCTTAGCTTTACAGATTCTTAAATTCAGTGTAGTGAATTTTATACATTGTTCTTTCTCATTTGGAAAACTAGGCTTAATTGTATATTGAATGATGGAATATATTTATTAATTTCCTCTCTTCTATTCTCCTCCTTACTTCTTTTCCTCTCCTTTCCTATCTCTCCCTTTCTCCTCATTTCTCCTATTCTCTTCTCTTTGCTTCTATTTTTCCTCCCCTTTTCCTCTGCTCTTGTCCTGTTCCTCTCCTATGCTCTTGTCTTTGACTAATCAATCCATCAAGAAGTATGAATTAAGCACTTACTATGTGTCCAACACTGAGTTCAGTCTCAGGGACACAGATATAATGCGTGAAAGAATCCTTACTACCAGAAGCTTAGCCTTGTTAGGCAAGACAACAAGTAATGATAATGATAGTTATACAGGGTCTTTCAAAAGTCATTTTATACAAGATGTCCCAAAATTTGAGTTTGGTTTTGAGTTTAAAACTTATTGGCTTTACTAGCTTAAAACCACTTTAAGATTTTAGGGATACTATATCGCACTTTAAGGTTTGCCAGGCATTGTTTCTATGATATTTCATCTGCTCTTCATGCAACAACTCTATGAGTTAAGTGTCATTATCATTTCTATTTTACAGAAAAGGAAACTGAGGTTGAGAGAAGTTAAGTGACTTGCCTAGGGTAACACATCTAGTCATTGTCTGAGGCAGAACAGAAAGTCTTCCTAACTTCAGGTCGCCTAGCTGCCTTCCATAAAAAATTCACAAAAATATTAAGTATATGTGCATATATTAGAATATATAGAATAAACATAAGGGAAAAATATGCAATAGTTCAATAGAAGGCAGTTTGGGAGAGAGGGGATGAGCATTTGAGGACATTAGGAAAGGCGTCATGTGGTTTTTGAGTTGATTCTTCAAAGAAGAATGGAAGGATTCTGTGAGATGGAGGTGAGGCTGGTGGGCCTGATGTCCTGGTCGCAGCTGCCCAGACTGGCAGCTGAGTAGCCCCAGCAGTGGTGGCTGCAGCCATCTTGTCTCGCTCTCTAAATATATTGACAACACTCACTGTTCGTATTCTTTCTTTCCTTATATTATAGGACATGGGAAGGATTACTTTATCTACACGGTGATTTTCGTGATCCTGCTTTTATTTCGCTTGTTTGAAGTCATGTAGTGTCTATGCTTCAGGAATGGTAAGAGGCTTAAAGGCTGACCTGGTCCCAGAATCCCCAGGTTAGCAGGGTGCTCCTCTGACTCACCTGATGTCCTTGGGCAAGTCATTGTCACTTTCTAGGCCTCCATTTTCCAGTCTGGAACATGGGAAGGATGAGATCTTCTGCTTTGTAGTTTTAGGAGAATGAGTGGGACTATTTATGCTCAACAACACTCAAGTGTTCTTTTTTTTTTTTCTTTGCTGAGGCAGTTGGGGTTAAGTGACTTGCCCAGGGTCACACAACTAGCAAGTGTCAACTGTCTGAGGGTGGATTTGAACTCAGGTCCTCCTGACTCCAAGGCCGGGTCTCTATCCACTGTGCCACCTAGCTGCCCCTCAGGTGTACTTTTGAAGGAAGTAGGCTGTATAGTCCTGCTTTCCTCTAGCTCTGGGATATGTGGGGTCGTGTCTACTGTCCTCTAGCTGACACCAAATTTTACATAAAATTGGAGGAATGCAGCCTAAAGTTTCCCTCAGTCACTGGCTTGAATCTTTCCTTAGAATCCTAGACTCTTAGCTCTGAAATGAACCTAGAATTAGTCCAACCTGCTAAAGAGTAACGTATTCATATTAACTCATGTCTGTGCAACATTCTAAAGTTTATAAATCACCTGTCATTGCCACCATCCTGTGAAGTAACTATGTAATGCAGGTATTATTAGCCCCATTTTAAGAAACTGAGTCTCAGAGGATTTTTGAATTGTATTTTATTTTTTCCCCCAGTTATATGTAAAGAACTTTTAGCATTCATTTTTACAAGATTTTGGTCGTAGAGAATTTAAATTTAAGGTTTTAAGATGAGTCACTGACTGAACCAAGGATGAACTAAGGCTCAGGACACCCAGACCAGCCTATGGTTCCCCATTCCTAGCATTGCAGTCTTCTCCCTCTATTTACCCAGGCTCTGCCCCATGCTTGAGATGCCCTCCTTCTTCATCTACATTTCTTGCAATCACTGCTTCCCTCCCAGGCTCCGCTCCAGTATTACCCCCTCTAAGAATTCTTTTCTGATTCCCAAAATTCATTAGTGCCTTCCCCGGGGCTAGCCTTGGAACCAGGAAGACATGGTTTCAGTTCCTATCTTTGATCCTTGCTGGATGTATGTGACCCTGGGCAAAGTCACCTAACCTCTCATTGTTTTGTCTAAGACTATAAATTGCAAAGAAGATGTTGCCCTGTATTGTTAGAAGTAGTTTCTTTACTACTATTTGTCTTTAATAATATAATAATTAATAATAATAATAACAATAATAGCTAGCATTTATATAGCATTTTAAGGTTTGTAAAGTGCTTTACAATACTGTATCATTTTATCCTCCCAACAACCCTGGGAGATAGGTGCTATTATTATCCCCATTCTATAGATGAGGAAGTACCAAAGTAACAATTCCAGTCCTTATTCCTGTATCCTGAATTTACTTATGGGTGAACGTGTTGTGTGTACATGTTGTATATACATGTTGTCTGTACAATGTTTGGGCATTGTCAGGGATTGTAGCTTTTTGTCTTTCTATCTCTATTGCCCGTTTCAATTCTCACCACTGACCTGGGTTCTCAGTACAAGGTTTGGCCTCAATAACAAATTAGTGTGGATCTGTGTCACTGAAGATTTGACTGAATCTCTAAACAAATTGAAAACATTACAAACATAAAGAAGATGTTGGCCATGCAAACATTAAATATGGGCCAGTGTAGACCTGGCTACAGTGTCTGAGCACAGGTCTACATTCAAACCTTGATTTTTCATCTCTGTGTAAATCACCGGCTTTTCTGGTTTTGCTTGATAGGCTTTTGAAATCTGAGGTTAGTCCATTTCGTCCCCCCATCCACCCCCCATTGTAGAGAGCTTAGGGAAGGAATACTCATTTCATGTTAGCCTGGGTCAAACTTGCTAAGGTGGGTTACTCTCTGTCCCCAGTCAATCGGATGAAATGATCCAAGGTCAAAAAGAAATGCTTTTTGGAATAGTATTGTTTTACAGTATTGGGGAAGGGGATTTTTCTTCTTGTCTTTTTAAGCAAGTCTGAGTTCGCAAGTTAGGACCCAGGAGAGGCTGGGCCCAGGGGAGAACTTTCTTGGTCTTTGAATTTGATTGCTGTCTTATCCCCAGCTCACTAAGCTCCCTTGACTCTTCTTCAGCCTGAGGTTAACGCCCATTGGCCAATCAAACCCCATCTGCACCAGGCTTCAGTGAGGCAGGTCTCTTGGTGACAGAAGCTTCTGATTGAAAAAATGGATAAAGCAAAGCCAGCTCTCCCCAAGATGTTTTCTTAGTTACTTGGTTATCAGATCATGGAATTGAAAGCTGGAAGAAACTTTAGAGACCATCTTTTACAATCTGTTCTTTTTAGAGAGGAGGAATCCAATAGATGGGACATAATTTCCCCAAGGTCACACAGGTACTAAGCAGCAGGGCTAAAATTCCAACCCATGTCTTTTGACTTTATATCTGGTACTCTCAAAAAAAGAGGAATTTTTTTTTCCAGATTTTTCAGGCCATAAAACCTCTTTGCCTGAATCATCCTGATAATTAATGAAAATTTGCATTTTTTGGGGTGGTGGCAGAATTGTCTCAGTTCCTTTGGTTCTGTGAACATAACTATGGTGGGTGGAAGTGAGCTTCCAAACTCTCATCCTATGTTCCCTTCCCTTTTAACCAGGACACCGACAATATCTGAGTCAGTGTGACTCATGACAAAGTCAAGGAGCCAGCCATTTTGAGGTTTTAATACTGAAACTTATTTCCAAGGATCTGGAAATGCAAGAATACAACGGTCAAAATGACGATGAACTTCGTAAGCCAAATGATGAAGTGGACAGTTTCAGAGGAAATAGGGAAGACGTTTATGAACCAACGTAGAGTGAAGTGAACAGGATATAATAATGCAGCATCATGGGGAGAAGCAAACTTTGGAAGACTTTAGAATCCTGATCAACACAATTATAAATTTGGAGTACCAACAAGTGAAGATAAAACACTCCCCTCCTGCCAGAAAAGTGATATGCTTAAGAGGCATATCCTATTCAACTCTTACTTCACTTCCATTCTCTACCAGTAAAATGATCTTTTGACAGAGAAGGAAAGAACCTAAATAACAAATAATGAATTAAAATCTAAAATAAATAAGGAGATAATAAGAAAGCACTCAGTTGTCCTCGATGAGGTCAGGTCACTAGGTATAGATGATTGACATCCAAGGGGACTGAAAGATCTGGCGGATGTAAGCACTAAGACACTGTCATGGATCAATAAAAGATCACAGAGCACAGGAGAGGTGCCGCAGGACTGGAGAAGGGCAAATGTTTCTGTTTTTCAAAAAAGGGAAGAGAACAGAGCCTGCAAACTATAGGCTGGTAAGCTCAATTGCTAGCAAAATTATAGGACATATTAATCAAAAGACTATGGAGAGATAACTGGCCTTAGAGTTAGAAGGATCTCAGTTTAAATCTTGCCCCAACATCTAAGCAGGAGCAGACAGGAGTGAGTGACAGAGCGATTAGGCCTATCAGAGATCTCAGGAGCCAGTTGAGAAGGTGCAAGGTTCTAGATTCTCACCATATATTTCCTTCTTTAATTAAGACAGCCACAAGGTTTGAGATAAGAGTGATTTCCACTGAGCCGTATGCCAACAAACTTTTGAGGTTTCCATCCTGAATGTTATTGCCAATGACCTGGAATCAAAATAATACATGGGACGGCATAAGTTATGGGAGTGTTACTTAAGCAATGGCTTCCATCTTGGCCAAGAGGGCTGAGATCTCCAGTTCTGGGAAAATCATCCTCAGGTCACAGGCTAGTGACCATGAAGAGGACATCTGTTGCCTGGTCCCCTTCCAGAGGACAATTTCACAAGGAAGATGTTCTAGTTGGATATCCAAGGGAGTCCAATCTGCCGAGGTTGGAAATCAGATTGCTAAGGGTTGAGGAGTGAGTGAAAGGAGAGAAAATGGAGACAGCTTTTCTTAGGCATTTGGCTGTGAAAGAGAGAAGAGAAATAAAACAATACCTCAAGGGAATGATAGGATCAAGTGAGAGGTTTTGTGTGTATGTGTGTGTGTGTGTGTGTGTGTCTGTGTGTGTCTGTGTGTGAGTGTTCAATTGGGGAAGATCTTTGAATATAAGTATCAGAGAATGAGTTGATGCGTAGGGAAAGATTAGGCAGGAGAGATGTTTAATGTCTCTAATTCCTTTAATCCTAATATGACATGACCTCAAAGTCTCCTTCACAATTTTGGTCACCCTTTAGATGCTCTTTATCTTATCAGTGTGCTTTGTGAAGTGTGGTCCCCAGAACTGTACACAGCACTGCAGATGTCTGACTAGGGCAGAGGACAGTGGGAATATCGCCTCTCTTGTTGGAGTCCATACCTCTCTTCATGTTGCCTTCTCTTAGTAGTCAGTGGTCACTGCCCCATCGTCCTCAAGCAGAAGCCCCATCCCTTTATGGATCCTTCTCTTCCTCCTGATATAGCAACATCCTCCTTCCCTTTTTGTTGTCATTGTTTTCCCTCACAGGTCTCAGTTCCTTCTGAGCTGTAGTACTCCTAACACTGTCTTTATAGGACTGTGCCACAATCTTCTTTCCGTCTTGTTACTTGACCTTGTTTCTGTCTTCTGAACATTTCTTTTAAGAAAATCAAAGTTATGAAACAGTGTAGGGGGGTGGAGCCAAGATGGCAGAGTAAAAGCAGTGACTTACTTGAGCTGTCCCCCAAACCCCTCCAAATACCTATAAAAATGGCTCTAAACAAATTCTAAAGCAGTAGAACCCACAAAAAGACAAAGTGAAACAAATTTCCAGCCCAAGACAACCTGGATGGTTGATCAGAAAGGCATATTGCACTGGCTGGGAGAGGAGCACAGTTTGGTGTGGGCTCGCAGGCTGCCGCGAACCTGGAGCAGGCCTCAGAGGACTGAATCGCAGACAGCTGTGGTGGTTTCCAGACTTCTCAACCCATGAACACCAAAGACAACTTAGAAGATCAGCGGGAAAATTTTGTTTCTGAGGTGAGAGAGAAGTGGGGAGTCCCAGCCCCATTTCCCTAGCTTGGCCCCAGGGCAGTGGCTGCCTCCTGACTGAGGGGGAATCAAGTGGCTGATCAGAGGGGGATTTCTGGGATCTCTCTGCTGGTGCAGGATTCTCTTGCTTTGCCCGTGCTTGGATCTGGGTCACAGTTCTGGATGGTGGTCCTGGGGCGAGGAGGAGCGCTGGCATGGTGGAGCTTGTAATAGCGGTGGAGAGGAAATCCTTCTCACAATTCCAAGACAGAGGGGAGTGCTTGTGGTCACTGATAGAGCAGAGCACAGGCCAGGAAAGGAGTAAACACCTCGCTTTTGATCATAGCACTTTGGAAGAACTGAAAATATATAGGTCCCTAGAAGTATCTCTGAAAACAGCTGCACAAAACCTCTGAAGCTTGGGACAGTACATTCTCCACACTGGAAACAGATCTCTACCTTAACAAAAAGTTTATAACTCAAGTAATTGGCTGGGATCATGAGCAAGCAGCACAAAAAGAGTCAGACTATGTTATCTTACTTTGGTGACAAAGAAGATCAAAACATACAACCAGAAGAAGGCAATGAAGCCAAAGCTCCTACATCCAAAGTCTCCAAGAAAAATATGAATTGGTTTCAGGCCATGGAAGAGCTCAAAAAGGATATTGAGAAGCAAGTAAGAAAAGTAGAGGAAAAACTGAGAGTGATGCTAAAGGAGACCCAAAAAAATACTGAAGAAAATAACACCTTAAAAAATAGCCTAATCCAAATGGCAAAAGAGGTCCAAAAAGCCAACAAGGAGAAGAATGCTCTGCAAAGCAAAATTGGCCAAATGGATAAGGAAGTCCAAAAGTTTACTGAAGAAAATACTTCCTTAAAAATTAGAATGGAGCGGAGCCAAGATGGCGGAGGGAAAGCAGTGACTGTCTTGAGCTCTCTCCCAAAGCCCTCCAAATACCTAAAAAAAATGGCTCTAAACAAATTCTAAAGCAGCAGAACCCACAAAAAGACAGAGTGAAACAAATTTCCAGCCAAAGACAGCCTGGATGGTTGATCAGAAAAGTATATCACACCGGGCAGGGAGAGGAGCTCAGTTTTGCGTGGGCGCACAGGCCGCAGCAACCCTGGAGCGGGCCTCAGAGGACTGAGCGGGCAGCTGTGGCGGTTTCCAGACTTCTCACCCCAGGAATGCCAAAGACAATGTGGAAGGTCAGTGGGAAAAGTCTGTGACTGTGGCGAGAGAGGAGCTAGGTCTCAGCCGCAAGTCTTGAGCACAGACTGGGGCAGTGACTGTTTCCTGAGCTTCTGGCCCACAGACTGAGGGGGAATCGAGTGGCTGATCAGAGGGGGATTTGAAGGATCTCTTTGCCAGTGCTGAGGCAGGAATCTCTTGCTTTGCCAGTGCTTTGATCTGGGTCACAGTTCTGAGGGGTGGTCCTGGGGCTAGGAGGAACGCTGGTGTGGTGAAGCTTGTTGTGGCTGTGGAGAGGAAACACCTCGCCCCTTATCATACCACCTTGGAAGAACTGAAAATTTACAGGTTCCCTAGAAGTATCTCTGAAAACAGCTGGACAAACCCCCAAAGCTTGGGACAGTACACTCTTCACATTGGAAGCAGACTTTTACCTTAACGAAGAGTTTAAAACTCAAGTAATTGGCCGGGATCATGAGTAAGCAGCGCAAAAAGAGTCAGATTATATTATCTTACTTTGGTGACAAAGAAGATGAAAACATACAACCAGAAGAAGACAACAAAGTCAAAGCTCCTACATCCAAAGCCTCCAAGAAAAATATGAATCAGTCCCAGGCCTTGGAAGAGCTCAAAAGGGATTTTGAGAAGCAAGTTAGAGAAGTAGAGGAAAAACTGAGAGTGATGCAAGAAAATCATGAAAAACAAGTCAACAGCTTGCTAAAGGAGATCCAAAAAAATACTGAAGAAAATAACACCTTAAAAAATAGCCTAACCCAAATGGCAAAAGAGATCCAAAAAGCCAATGAGGAGAAGAATGCCCTAAAAAGCAAAATTGGCCAAATGGAAAAGGAAGTCCAAAAGATTACTGAAGAAAATACTTCCTTAAAAATTAGAATAGAGCAATTGGCAGCTAGTGACTTTATGAGAAATCAAGACACTGTAAAACAAATCCAAAAGAATGAAAAATAAGAAAACAATGTGAACTATCTCATTAGAAAAACAACTGACCTGGAAAATAGATCCAGGAGATAATTTAATAATTTAAAATTTAATCAATAATTTATCATAATTTTTATAATTATATAATATTATATAATTATAATTATATAATATATTACATATAATATATAATATATAATTATATAATTATTATAATAATTAATAATTTAAAAATTAATAATTTAAAAATTATTGGACTATTTGAAAGCCATGATCAAAAAAAGAGCCTAGACATTATCTTTCAAGAAATTATCAAAGAAAACTGTCCTGATATTTTAGAACCAGAGGGCAGAATAGAAATTGAAAGGATCCACCAATCACCTCCTGAAAGAGATCCCCAAAGGAAAACTCTTAGGAATATTGTAGCCAAATTCCAGAGTTCCCAGGTCAAGGAGAAAATATTACAAGCAGCCAGAAAGAAACAATTCAAGGATTGTGGAAACACAATCAGGATAACACAAGATTTAGCTGCTTCTACATTAAGGGACCGCAAAGCATGGAATATAATATTCCAGAGAGCAAAGGAGATAGGACTACAACCAAGAATCACCTACCCAGCAAAACTGAGTATAATCCTGCAAGGGAAAAAATGGTCATTCAGTGAAATAGAGGACTTTCAAGCATTCTTGATGAAAAGACCAGAGTTGAATAGAAAATTTGATTTTCAAATACAAGACACGAGTGGAACACGAAGAGGTAAACAGGAAAGAGAAAAACATAAGAGTCTTATTAAGGTTGAACTGTTTACATTCCTGCATGGAAAGATGATATTTGTAACTCATGAGACCTTTATCAGTATTAGGGTAGTTGGAGGGGAAAAAATTATATGTATGTATAAATAGATATAGATAGATAGAGGACACAGGGTGAGTTGAAAATGAAGGGGTCATATCTGGAGAATAAAATTAAGGGGTGAGAGAGGATTATACTAGGAGAAGGAAAAAGGGAGAGGTAGAACAGGGTAAATTATCCCACCAAAAAAAAAAAATAACAAACAAACCAGAAAAGAAAAGGCTCTTACAGTGGAGGGGAAATGGGTGAAGGTGAGAGGGAATGAGTTAATCTTATTTTCATAGGATTTGACTTAAGGAGGGAATAATATACACACTCAATTGAGTGTGGAAATCTGTCTTACCCTACAGGAAAATAGCGGGGGAAGGGGACAAGAGAGTAGGGGAATGATAGAGAGGAGGGCAGATTGGGAAAGGGAGTAATCAGAAGCAAATACTTCTGAGGAGGGACAGGGTCAAAAGAAAGAATAGAATAAATGGGAGGGGCGGGATAGGATTAAGGGAAATAGAGTTAGTTTTTCACAGCATGTCTACTATGGAAGTGTTTTGCATAACTGCACATATATAACCTATATTTAGTTGCTTGCCTTATCAATGAGGGTAGGTAGGCAGGGAGGAAGGGAGAAAATTTTGAACCCAAAGTTTTAAAAACACATGTTTAAAAAAAATGTTTTCACATGCAACTGGGAAATAAGAAATACAGGAAATGGGGTATAGAAATCCATCCTGCCCTACAGGAAAATTGAAGGGGAAGGGGATAAGAGAAAGGGGGGAGAGATAGACGGGAAAGCAGACTGGGGGAAGGGGTATTTAGAATGCATGCCATCTTGGGGTGGGGGGAGGGGTGAGATGGGGTGAAAATTTGGAACTCAAAATCTTGTGGAAGTAAATGTTGAAGACAAAAAAGTAAAAATTACCATGAAAAAAAAAATTAGAATGGAGAAATTGGAAGCTAGTGGCTATATGAGAAATCAAGGCACTGTAAAACTAATCCAAAAGAATGAAAAAATAGAAGAGAATGTGAAATATCTCATTG